GGTTTTACTCTCGAAGGCATAGAAACATTATGAATAGTATAAGTACGAAGGCTTTCACGGCCGGTGTTAATTAAACTAAAACTAGAACTAACACTAGACCTAGAAACTTTCGGGTTAAGCAGTGCGTTTTTTGAAAAAATATTTGACGTTTTCTCCTAATTGATACTTTTTCTAGAATCAATTAGGAGTATGAAGTAAGACTCTCAGGATATGCTGGTAAGTTTCGACGTGGAATCTCTATTCACCAGAGTACCAGTCAAAGATGCTCCCGGAGGGTTTGCCCAAGTATGTCCCAGGACTAGTGGAATACTGCCTATCGTCGACATATTTCAGCTGGAAGGGGGAATTCTACGAGCAATGCGAAGGGACAGCCATGGGATCACCTCTGTCTCCTGTGATAGCCAATTTTTACATGGAGATATTTGAAGAGGAAGCGTTAAAGAAGAGTCCTTGGAAACCGAAGCTATGGCTCCGTTACGTCGATGACACTTTCGTGATCTGGCAACATGGAAAAGAGCAACTCCAGGAATTTCTAGACCACTTCAATCCACAGAACCCCATGATAAAATTTACTATGGAAACAGAAACTGCAAAACAGTTGCCATTCCTGGATGTGTTAGTCACTAGGAAGACAGTTGGGGGCATGGAACTGGGAGTATATCGAAAGAAAACGCATACGAATAGGTACCTGCAGGCTTCATCCCACCAACAGAAGAGGTTCGTGATTCAAGCCTTATTCCAGCGAGCAGAGAGGATACGCAATAAAGAGAACCTAAGAAAAGAAGAAAGATTCCTAGAAGATGTGCTGCAGAAGAGCGGCTATACGATGAGAGATATTCGACGAGCCACCTTATGTTTCAGGTGTGACGGAGCGAATTGCGAGGCGTCTGAAGAAGAATGATATCGTGGTATGATACAGTACGGTCAGCAAAATACAAAACGCTCTTCCGATAGCCAAAGACAAACTAACCCCATTAAAGGGAGCGGGAGTCTACCAGCTATCGTGCAGTTGCGAGAAATATTACGTTGGCCAAACTGGACGTAACATCGAGTGCCGCATCAAGGAACATGAGAGGGACGTCCGACTAAGGAAGATCCAACAATCTGCAGTCGCAGAGCATTGCCACAAAGGAGGACACAGCATAGAGTTCGACAAAACCAAAGTCCTTCCTTCCTTCCAAAGATTGACGAGAGAGGTGATAGAGGTTCATCGACATGGGAATAATATGAATAGAGAAGATGGTTGGGAACTCAGCTGCACATGGAAGATGTTAGTGATCTCAACGAAGCCTTCTCCACCCGGATTTGACAAAAACAACTTAGTTAATAATTAGACACTAATTTTAACCAAACTCGTCACTTCGAACTTGTTTTTGAAGAACATTGCAACATGGCATCCGAAACGTCAAACATTTTTTCAAAAAACGCACGGCTTAACCCGACAGTTTCTAGGTCTAGTTTTAATTTAATTATGAATACCAAATACTACCATCAACGTATAGTAAACTATTAAAATCGTATCGTTCTGATCGATATTTTAGAATAAAATACGAAAACGCTTATTCACCAATACATGAAATATGAGCCGGAGTTCCTCAAGGAAGTGTGCTAGGCCCAACATTGTACTTACTCTACACATTCGACCTTCCTCAGGTAACAGAAACTTTAACAGCTACATTCGCAGACGACACAGTGATCTTGGCTGTTGCAGAAAA